CATGCTCAAAGTCACTAATTATCCAAGAGATGCAAATCAAAATGACAATGTGGTACCATCTCACACCTGTCAGAATGGCTATTATCAACAAACCAACAAACGACAAGTGCTGGCGAGGATGCAGATAAAAAGGAACCCTTGTGCACTGTTGGTGGGAATGCAGACCGGTGCAACCACTGTGAAGACAGTATGGAGTTTCCTCAAAAAACTGAAAATGGAACTCAATTTGACCCAGTAATCCCACTCCTAGGAATATATCCTAAGAAACTAGAAACACCAATCAAAAACAATATATGTACCCCTATGTTCAAAGCAGCACAATCTACAATAGCTAGGATTTGGAAACAGCCTACGTGCTCTTCAGCAGATGATTGGATCAAAAACCTTTGGTACAACTACACAATGGAATACTATGCTGCCATAAAAAAGAAGGAATTATTATCATTTGCAGTGATCTGGATGGAACTGGAGAACATTATTCTGAGTGAAATAAGCCAGTCAATGAAAGAAAAACACCGCATGATCTCACTCATTTATAGATAATAAGGAACATTATAAACTGATGAACAAAAAGATAGATACAGAAACAGTAAAGAAACAAACAGACTGTCAAATTACAGTGGGGAGAGTAGGGATATATGGGGAGATAAGAGATCAACTAAAGGACTTGTATGCATGCATATAAGCATAAACAATGGACGAAAAAGTATGGGGAGGGAAGGTGTGTATGGAAGTGGGGGGGTGGGATTGGTAATGTGTGTACACATATAATACCTTAATAAAAAAAAATACAGATTTGAAAGGTTTAAAGAGAGAGAGAGAGAGAGAGAGAGAGAGAGAGAGAGAGAGAGAGAGAGAGAAGACATTGATGTTTTGAAAACAGTGTAAAGGTTGGGATCAGGGAAGTTGCTTGATAAAAATATATATTTTAAAGTGACACTCCTCACTTAATGTGCTACAACTGAATGTAATAATAAGATGAACATTGCTTACACCTCACATGTTCAGGGAAAGAAACACAAAGCAAGCAAAAAAGAAAGATGTTGTCATGTGTCCCAATTTTACTTTCAAAAAAACAAGGTCACTGTTACTACATGTGTATATCCACGGATGAAGAACCCATTTCTGGTAGTGTAGGAATCAAGTTGGACTTAAGGATCTTATAGGTCATAAAACTAATACTATATGTTCCACAAGTGTTGAATTTTTCTTCTTTCCTTTTCTTCAAAACAGGTATCCTCCAGTGTGATCCAGGAACAATAAGAGAAGAAATGCAAATATTTCGACTATTTTGCCATGAATGTCAAAGAGTCTTCCATGATCGCCTGATTAATAATGAAGACAAGGAATATTTCCATGTTATTTTGACAGAAATGGCCAGTAAGTATGAATCTTTATTCAGCTCTTTGCTTGTTTTTTAGTAGAAAAGCAAATTTGGTTTCTATAAAGAAAAATTAAAATGATCTTATATAGGGTAAAGCAAAGTGAATTTTAGTCATTCCTAAATAAAAGTTTTCAATGCCTCACTTATATAAAACTAGGGGCCCAGTGCAGGAATTCGTGCACCTTGAAAGGAACAGCGGACCCTGAGGCTGTGATGGGCACAGAGGCGGGCCTTGGCCCATCCTCCTCACCCCTGCCAGGCCCCTCCCACCTCAGCCCCTGGTCCCCTGTCTGCATGCAGCCTCACTCCCATCGCTGCTCCCATGTGCTGACTGCCCCAGACCCGCTTGCACCTGCTGATGGTATGGAGCTATTACGGCTGGTGCCAGCAGCAGGTGCAACTGGGGCCATCAGCAGGTGCAAGTGGTGGCTGCTGCCCCGATTGTCCCTCAGGAACAGGGCAAGGTGGAGAAGCCCTGAGGGGCGATCGGGATCAGCAGCCACCACTTGCACCCAGTGATGGAGCTGAGCAATCAGGATCAGGGTGCTGGCAGCTGGTGCAAGCAGCAGCTCAGGCACCAGCAGCAGGTGTGAGCAGGACTGGTGCAAGTGCTGGGCAGGACCATGGTGTGCGGGAGCAAAGAATTTTCTGTAACCACCAGAGGCCCACTCCAGTGACAGCTACTGGCACCCCACCTTGGTCTGGCACCCCAACTCACAGGCTTCACCATCCTGCCATGGCCAACGCCTGCCATGTTCCTCGTTCTCGCCCTGGTGGTCAGCGCACGTCATAGCGGCCAGTTGTTCAGTTGTTCCACCGTTCAGTCTATTTACATATTAGCCTTTTATTATATAGGATATATTTAGTACTATACAATTCATTGCATTGAAATTCAAGAAGGTTAATATTTTAATTAAGTATAGAATTTTAAGTAGAGGAGAGAATTCAGAAGAAACATTTTGTCTGATAAGAAGCCAGGATATTTCTAAAATATGTCTTATTAATTTGTATTCAATATCTATTATTTAATAAAATGCTTAATATTCTATATTCTTAACCTTAAATCTGGGAGATTATCAACCAAACTAAAGAGGTACAATATTAACTTGGCTTTCCCTCAGATTTATTTATACCAATTAAGACTTCTAAGTAAATAGCTAATATTTTGATTTTGTGTTTTGAATAGACAAACATTTTGGAATTGCAATTGGCCTAGAATATTTTTTTAACAAGCCCATCCTATTTGGAGATTTCATGAAGGCAAGTATATTCTAGTGACTTGACTACATCTGAAGATTATAATTATATGAATGTTATAATTGTAAACCTTATAACTTGAAAATTATAAAGTTCAGGTTCACATTCTATAAGAACTTTACACCTGTGAAAATTAAAGATCTTGACTAGGGGTCAGCAAACTATGGCCCATAGGCCCAATTGGCCTTTTGCCCATTTTTGTAAATAAAGTCTATAGGAGAACAGCCACACAATTCCATTTGTACTATTTATGAGGTTACTTTTGCATTACAAGGCAGAACAGTAACAGAGACTCTATGGCCTGCAGAGCCTAAAATATTTACTATCTGGCCCCCAGAAAAAGATTGCTGACTCCTGATCTAGTTACATTCATTTTGATAATAGTTTGAATCAGAGGCCCATCTGGTATTTAATTGGCAAGAAGGTTTAGTCTCTTAACTCAAGACTGGACTCCCCCAGACTGCATGTACCTGTGCATCCTCCACTCAAATGCTTCCAGCAATGGTGAACAGTGCTGCCCTCTTCATTTCAGAGGAGCTCTAATTCTCAGCAAAATTTTCCTTGTATTAAGTTCCTCAAGTCTGTCACCCCAACAGCAGCCACATGTGGGCCCTAATTTTACCCTCTAGACCTGCCTAGAATAAGACTTCCACCCAAGCATCCTGCCCTTGTTGACAGGCAGCTGTCTTGTTTTACAAGTTGACTCTTATTTGGGTTCAACATTCCTAGTGTCTGTGAGAAGGAAGAGCCATACCTCCCTTGTTCACCCTGAATCCCAGCATGGAGCTAGCCACTGCTGATTAAACAAGTGAACGAACTCGTCACTGTGTTATACGGATGCAATTCCCCATCACTCTGGTAACCCCTGACAAGTACGAAAGAGAAACCATTGATTTGTATAAAATATATTTATTTAAATGTTACATTAAACACAAAGTCCAAAATTTGTTTTCAGGTGGGGTTATATTTCCCTTGTGTTTCTAGTGATATTATTAACGAACTAGAGGCCCGATGCATGAAATTTGTGCAAGGGGCTTGGCCCTCGCAGCCCCAGCTTCATCCAGAAGGTCATCTGGACGGTCGTTCTGCTGTTCGTCTAATTAGCATATTAGCTCCTTATTATATAGGATGGGGAAATAAAGCACAGGAAAAGAACAGTTGGACTCTTCTTGCATTGCCTATGGGCATTTTAGTCAAAGTTACGAAATGAACATTCCCAGGGCCTTTGCTGCAACAAATAAAAGACATCATCAATAGGTCTAAACAAGACCTCAATTCCCTATAGTTTGTACCACATTTCATTCTCAATGATTTATTTATTGGGTAGCTGCTGTGTGGAAACTACATATAGTTCTGGCATGAATTTTTTATAACCATAACAGTCGGCCAGGCATCATTTTCTACTCATTTAATTTTTCTGATGTCAACAGCCTAGGTACAAAATTATGAAACCAGAGTAATGTATAGTAAGAAAAATTTTAAGTCTATTCCTGAGCTCCTGTGTCAATTTTGTTGCAAACAAAACTGAAATCCCAATATACTACTTGAGGAAGTTAAATTAAATAGATTGTCACTTAGACACAAAAATCTGAGTTCCCTTAGTCCCAGTTCCCTTGTTTTGAAAACCCTTCTAGCATATATGTAAGCAAATGATTAAATAACAACGTAGATAAAATAGCATCCCCTGCTAAGGTCATGTGTGGTGTGTGTTTGCTTGTGTGTGTGTGTGTTTCAACTTATTTCTTCTCCTATAAACCATCTCATAGTTTGGAGTGGATAAATCTGATCGGGTTTATAATGACATGCCTGATATGGAGAAAATCGCAAATGTTCTCCAGGACTACCTTGATGATTATAACCTTACAAATCCCAAAGAAGTAAAGTTGGTGTTCTTCCAGGATGCAATAGAACACGTTTCCAGGTAGAGTGCTAAAAGCTGCCCCATATACATCGTTCTAATTTGTTTTGTATTAAAATGTAAGGATTAGGTTGTGCAAAATTCTTTAAATAGATAGACAAAGGTCTATAACAAATCTTGGTACAATTTAAGTTAGTTTTGATGTATCTTACATATATATGCATGAACTTTCTACGGTATCCCCAGGGTTGTTACTTTTTACTAAACTTTAGTAGATTGGTTTTTGTTTGTTTTAAATGTTATGGATCATTACAAAAAAGGATCTAATAAGGTGTTCACAGCTGAAATCTGTTTGGCTCAGTGGATAGAGTGTCGGCCTGCGGACTAAAAGGTCCCAGGTTTGATTCCGGTCAAGGGCATGTACCTTGGTTGCGGGCACATCCCCAGTAGGGGGTGTGCAGGAGGCAGTTGATCGATGTTTCTCTCTCATCGATATTTCTAACTCTCTATCCCTCTCCCTACCTCTCTGTAAAAAAAAAAAAAAAAAAAAATCAATAGAATATATGTATATATATTTTTTTTTTTCAAAAGTGTTCACAGAGGTACAAGACAGTATAACAAGGCTGATGTGCATGCTTAAAGAAAGAGGACTTCAAGGTTATAGAAAAAACAAGTTGAATGCAGGGATGACACTCAGCTGGCTGCCAGCCTTCCATGCAGAGGCCACATCTGTCCAGCTGAAATAGCTCTCTCTCTCTCCTTTGCTTCCTGCAGAATTGCCCGCATGATTCGTCAGGAGAGAGGCAATGCTCTGCTCGTCGGAGTAGGTGGCACCGGAAAACAGTCACTCACGAGACTTGCAGCTCACATCTGTGGTTACAAATGTTTACAGATTGAACTGTGTCGGGGATATCATTATGAGAGTTTTCATGAAGACCTGAGGAAGTTGTACAAGTTGGCTGGTGTAGATGACAAGAACATGGTTTTCCTCTTCACAGACACACAGGTATGTATTTCAGTATCCAACATATCAGTCAGAAAAGGGCTACAATCACATATGTGCTCGAATCATTTTATGATGCTGCTCAGGGACTTGTTTCCTCTGGAAACAAATGTCTTGGTCTTGAAAAGGACTTTTATAGCACATTTTTAAAATTTATTTTACCAACTATTACTTTCCCCTTTAAATTCTAAGTAAGTAAATATGATCAGAGGTTAAGGGGGTGAGAATGATTTTAACTTTCCTTTGAGGGGAAGCATGAGGATAGCAGAAGGTAGTAAACTATTTCTGTGTAGAGATAGATAGAAGAAAGGAATTACCTAAGAGAAATCAATCAGGGAAATAGGCTTTTCTCAACAAAAGGAAAAAATAACAAGCTATGTTTTGGGGTTAAAGTGTCTTAAAAATTAAAATAGGATTTACATATGTCCACAACAACCATTTTCACTGATTTAAATTTAATAGTAGAGAATTTTCTACATTCACTACATTTTAATATCTTAACATTAGGGGGGAGACCTTTATAGAAATTAGCCAGGGAATAAGAAAGCAATAGAGCTGATGCATAAATATTTTAAAGTTCATTTTACTTTTTAAAACACATATACTGGGATTAAGTCCAATCATAAAATGGGGGGAAATTTTTAACATCTGTGCCATGCAGTAAGTTCAAATCAGAGTATGTAAATTTTTTTTTCAATTGAGAAACACTCATAGTGAAATGTGTGCCCATCACTGGCTGTGGCCTCCGCCAATGCCTGCCCTGGTTCCTAGCCACAGGACTTGGAGGCAAGGCTGTGGATCCAAGGACTCCTTTGTATATATATATATATTTTTTAATTGATTTCTTACAGAGAAGAAGAGAGAGGGATTGAGAGTTAGAAACATCCATGAGAGAGAATCATCGATCAGCTGCCTCTTGCACACCTCCTACTGGGGATGTGCCCGCAACCAAGGTACATGCCCTTGACCGGAATCGAACCTGGGACCTTTCAGTCCGCAGGCTGACGCTCTATTCACTGAGCCAAACCGGTTTCTGCCCCAAGTACTCCTTGCAGCCACGGCAGACCCCCTGCAGTGCTGACCAAGATACATATAGTTGTTGACACTGTGAGCCCTAGTGACCTGAGCCAGAGACATAACGCTACCACCCCAGACCCCGTGCTATCAAACACCTCTACACTTGCCCTCCTGTTCTGCACTACTAGCCAGGGGTCATAGCAAGCCCCAGGGTGCCCCTAACCACAGGTGAAAGTCTTCTCTCACCAAAGTCAGTCCGTAGAGTCTGGAAGAGGTGACTGCTTCCTCAAATGTGCAGACACCAACGTAAAGCTATAAGAGTTCATGAAGAATCAGAGAAACATGACTTCACCAAAGGAATACAATAAGGAAGATGTAAATACGACTGGCCCCAAAGAAATGGAGATCCACAAATTTTCCCACAAATAATTAAAAATAGTTGTCCTAAAGATGCCAAGAGAGCTACGTGAGAATGCAGATAAACAATCTAGCAGTATCAGGAGAATAACACCAGAACAAAATTGTGGAGTGGGGACATCACTAAGATGGTTGTATAAGTTGTTCCCATGTTACTCCATCCCCCCAAAATAACTATCAACTATTCATGGACAAGATTCCAGTGAGAAAATCTTAGAACAAGGGGCTGGATCACCCCGCTGGGCACAACAGAGATGAGACAGACTGCGTTGAATGGCAAGGGAGTGGCTTCATGCTGGTGCAGCATCACGCCAAGAGGTCTCCCCTGAGCCTGCAGTCCTCCAGTGAGAAAAGAGAGTCAAGGTGGGATGCCAGGTTATGCCGCATTGTGGAGCACTTCTTAGGAGTCTCAAGCCAGTCTCACATCGTGGGGACAATGAGGGAATCTGCAGGCCTTGACCACCGGTAATGTGATGGGTGGTTGGGGGACTCACAACAATCAATATTTGGAACTTGACAGAATGAGTTCCTACCTGCAGCACCCACATAGTAGGATTAAGCAGAAGCTTTGCTCACCTGCGAAGCCAATATAGGGGTACAGTCTGACCAGAGAACTGAGCAGGGCACAGGTCTGTCTGATTGGAGGTCCTCCAACAAAAAGCCTTCCCATCTCTGGAACCTGGTCTGCCTCCCTACCCTGCCCAGGCAGAAGAGCTGAGTCATAGTCCTGCCCACTGCTGAGGGTAGCTCTCAGCCCTCAACTTATGATGGGTTTATATCCCAATAAGCCCACTGTAAGCAGAGAATATCATAAATTGAAAATGCATTTATTTAATTTTTTAAAATATATTTTTATTGATTTTGTACAGAGAGGAAGGGAGAGAGATAGAGTTAGAAACATCGATGAGAGAGAGTCATCGATCAGCTGCCTCTTGCACACCCCCTACTGGGGATATGCTTGCAACCAAGGTACATGCCCTTGACTGGAATCGAACCGGGGACCTTTCAGTCCCCAAGCTGATGCTCTATTAATTGAGCCAAACCAGTTTCGGCTGAAAATGCATTTAATGCACCTACTCTATACCGAACATCATAGCTTAACCTAGCATACCTTAAATGTGCTGAGAATAATTACACTAGCCTACAGTTGGGCAAAATCATCTAACACAAAGCCTATTTTGAATACACTGTTGAATATCTCTTAAAAGCCTATCTCTTTCATACCATGGTAAAGTTGAAATCTGGTAAGTTGAATCATCATAAGTCAGGGACTATCTGTATATAAATGGTTCCAAAGTTTGAGCAGATTTTTTAACGAAAATTAAAAAATATGGGAAAATATTTGCCCTTGCTACTAGTAATAATCAAAGAACTACAAATTAAATTCTCCCAAAGGGAACATTTACACTCCCCACATTAACAACATTACATGTTAAAGGGTAATGAAGTCATACTTGAATTGAATAGGAAACTTTAAAATTTTCAAAATTCAGAAAACATTCATGTACTTTAATTGCTAATCTCACTCCTGGGAATTTATCCCCAGGAAATAATCCAGCCAGAGAGAAAGGCTAGGGGCCTAAATATGTTCTTATGATGTCTGTAAGACTGTAAACTATATCAGTTTATGTATCTGTATGGCACATCAGCTCAATGGTGTGCTATGCTCCCATTAATGATTATAAATATGATGAGTACTCTACAGAACTATGGATTAATATTTACAACATAATCTTCACTGAAAGGAGCAGACTATAAAATGCTTGTACATATGACCAAACCATGTAAAAGGTGATGCCAAATATCAATGTGCTCACTACATTAGAATATTAAGATTCTAAGTTTTAAGATTATTTTCTCTTAAAGATAAAACTAACTGAATGTAAACTTTGAAAAAAATATTTGCTTTATACTTTACAATGTAAAACGGTTGCATGAGTTATAATCACTCTGCTTCCTTCTACAGATTGTAGTGGAAGAGTTTCTAGAAGATATAAATAACATCTTGAACTCAGGTGAAGTGCCTAACTTATTTGAAAAGGATGAACTGGAGCAGGTTTTAGCAGCCACCAGACCAAGAGCTAAAGAAGTCGGAATTTCCGAGGGAAATAGGGATGAGGTAGGACATGAGAGAATGGCTATATGCCTCTATAGAACAAAAAATGGTCTTAGCCTTCTTAAAAAGGGTCCACAAATCTCCTTAAGGAGTCTGTGGGTAGAATTTCTTTACCAGTTTAATTGGTTTCTTTAGTAATTCTTTGTATTTTATATCCTGCATTCAAAGCAATGGTTCACCAGACTCCCAAAGAAGTCTGTGGAAAGCAGAAACCCTACTGCCCCATGAAGGTCATTGTCTTGTCCAAAGATATCACATGCCCTCTGAGGAGTCCAGTGCTGTTCACTCCCTTGCCTATCAGCAAGGTTATGGCACAACTAAAACAGAAATGCATTCTCTCTCTCTCTCTCTCTCTCTCTCTCTCTCTCTCTCTCTCTCTCTCTCTCTCTCCCTTCCTCCCTCAAAATAATTTACACATTTACTTCACTGACATTTTTTAATTGATATCGGTAGCCAATACTTGTTTTCATTGTTGCTTCATCCTTATTTTGAATTGAAAAAAAAATCTTTTTTTTTTTACAGGTGTTTCAATACTTTATTAACAGAGTCCGTCAGAAGCTGCATATTGTTCTCTGTATGAGCCCTGTGGGAGAGGCCTTCCGGTCCCGATGCCGGATGTTCCCATCCCTTGTGAACTGCTGTACCATTGACTGGTTTGTCCAGGTTGGTGACTTCCTGGAGTTGGACTTGCTTGTTTTTAAAGGAGTAATATGGCACTAGCTTTAAAGCCCTCTAAAAATTTACTCATATGCAAGAGATGACATTGACAATTATCAGACAAAGGCAAAGCAGAATTTATAAAGGAAGAGGAAACTATTGAATTTTGCAATGTAGACATCAGTCATTTTGACAAGAGCTGTTTTAGTAGAGTTATGGGAGATAAGATTCAATAGAGAAGAGGGAAAAGGAATCTGAGACAATGAATTCAGTAGCACCCTCTTATCCACAGTTTCAGTCTCCATGGTTTCAGTTACCGGGGTCAACCTCAGTGCAAAAATATTAAATGGAAAATTTCAGAAGTAAATAATTTTTAAGTTTTGAATTGCATATCATTCTAAGAAGTGTGATGAGATCTCACACCATTCTGCTCTGTCCCTGCTGGGACATGAATTATTCCTTTGTCCAGCATATCCACACTGTATACACTACCCACCCATTAGTCACTTAGTAGATATCAGGTCTACTGTCAAGGTATCACATGCTTATATGTAAGGAACCCTTGTTTTACTTAATAATGACCCCAAAGCACAGTGGTAGTGGTTCTGGCAGTTCAGATATGCCAAAGAGAAGCCATTAAGTGCTTTTCTTTAAATTAAAAGATCATTATATATATATATATATATATATATATATATATATATATAATCTCCAGCAACCAGAACAGCAGAATGACAAGAACAACCAGAATGACTGGTGGCTATGATGCACTCTACAGCAGCCAACCAGCCTGATCCAGGCCTCGATTGGGCCTCCTGCCCCCCAGGGCCAGCCCAGCCCCCAACACCCTGATCGGGGGTAGGGCCAGTCAGCCAACCTCCCATGGTCCCTCCCCCCCGCCAGTCCAGCCTGATGGGTCCCCATAGGACAGGCCATTTGGACCCCACCCATGCACGAATTCGTGCACTGGGCCTCTAGTTTAAGAGGAAGAAAAAACATAGTATGTATAGGGTCCAGTACTATTCACAGTTTTAGGCATCCATGGGGGTCTTAGAAGGTATCCCCCATGGATAAGGGGAGACTACTGCCAACTCTTTCAAGACATTTTTCCCCAAAGGAACACCAGGATGTGAGTAATAGCTAGAGTGCTATGTGTAGCAAAGAAAGACGTATTTTTAAGTGAAAAGCACAAACAGCATATATGTGTGCTGATGGAAATGATGCAGAAAAAAAGAAATAAATGATGGCACAGCAGACAGAGTTAAGGGTTGTTATATCAATGTCTTTGAGTAGACAAGGAAGGATAACATCAAGTCATCAATGAAGGGTCTGATTTTGGCAGGGAGCATGAACAACTTATCCCAGACTACCAGGAAGGAAGGTAGATTGTATGAGCACAGATGCATATGCATGAGAACTCATTGAGGTTCTGTTTTCATTGCTTCTGGTTTGTTTGGGGTTTTTATTTTATTTTTTATTTTTTAGTAATGTGGGAAGCAAGGTCATCAGCTGAAAATAGAGAAAAGAGGAAGTACCGGTATTAACAGCCTGAAAAAGTAGTGCAGGGTGTAAAATGTTCACTTAGGACGGTACATTAGGGATGCATTAGAAAGTGTAGATTTTCTGGGCTGCACTATGAACCTGCTGGAACTGGTTGCCATGAATTTAAAGTGAGACCAGTCAGCATGGCTGTGTGTTTCTCCACCAGGCTCAGCTGTACAGTCACTGGCATGGGGTAACAGAAAGCTGCATTTGACTAAGGTTCAGGTGAGCTCAAAGAAATGAGAGAGGAGCAAAGGAGTTGAGGTGAGCAGGACAGCAATTATAATAACGGACCTCAAGTCCAAACTGCATAATAACCTAGTGAGCACATAAGGTCCTCATAATATATGGAATATATGGAATTATCCCAGAGATACCTAATTACTCATTCATTAATCAACAAAAACTTATTGAACAATTGCTGTGTGCCAGACACTGTACTGAGGAGAGCAAATGCAGATTCACATCTCCCTCAAATGAACACAGCTGTTCAGTTTATTAAACACTAGGGGCCTAGTGCATGAATTCATGCACCTTGAAATGAACTACGGCCCATGAGGCTGTGGGTGAGGCATAGGGGTGGGTCTTGGCCCATCTTCTGCACCCCAGCCCAGCCCTTCCCACTACGGTCCCCTGTCCCCTGTCTGCTGGCAGCCCTGCCTGCTCCCGCTGCTGCCGCCGCTCCCACACACTGATGGTGCAGGCCCCACTTGCACCCACTGACGGCACAGAACAATAGGGGCCGGCACCAGCAACTGGTAGAGTGGGGTTGGGGCTGGTGCAGTCAGCAGGTGTGAGTGGCTAATGCCACCCCTGATAGCCCCTCAGGAACAATGAGAGATGGAGAAGCCCTGAGGAGTGATTAGTGCTGGCAACCACCACTCGCACCTGCTGATGGCACCGAGCGATAGGGGCTGGTACCAGGCACCAGCAGTTGGTGCAAGCGGTGGCTCAGTGCTGGGGTCAGCACTGGCAGCAGGTGCGAGAGCCAGGCAGGACCGAAACATGTAGGAGCAAAGAATGTTCAGTAACCACTAGAGGCTCGCCCCGATGACAGTGACCAGCCGCCTGCCTTGGTCTGGCGCCCCTGCTCACCTGCTCCACCATCCTGCTGCAGCCAATGCCCACCATGTTTCACACACTGCTGCCTACTGTCAATGCCCACCATGTTCCGCATGCACCCCCTGATGGTCAGCACACATCATAGCAACCAATTGTTTGTACGGTTGTTCTGCAGTTCGGTCTATTTGCATATTAGTGTTTTATATATATAGATCATAGGCATGAGTAGGAGTAAACCAGGTGAGATATACATTTTTCTTATTTGTTAAGTCACATATTATGGAAATGAGCAACAGATTTTCCAAACTGTCTTTATTTACAGTGGCCTAGAGAAGCACTTCTTTCTGTATCAAAGACATTTTTCTCACATGTTGACACCGGAGCTGATGATCTAAGAGAAAAGCTTTCCCTCATGTGTGTGAATGTTCACTTAAGTGTCTCCAATATGGCAGAACGCTATTACACAGAGCTCCGGAGACGGTACTATACCACACCCACCTCCTACCTGGAACTCATCAATCTCTACCTAACTATGCTCAGTGATAAAAAGAAGCAGTTGGTTTCAGTAAGTTGAACACACTGGCTGGTGTTGCTAAATGGTTTGAGCACCAAAGGGTCTCAGGTTTGCATCCCAGTTAAGGGCATGTACCTGGGTTGCAGGGTCCATCTCCAACCCCAGTCATAATGCATGTAGAAGGCAACCAATGGATGTGTTTCTCATGCATCGATGATTCTCTCTCTCCCCACATGCTTCCTCCCTTCCACTCTCTCTAAAAAAATCAATGGGGAAAAACTATCCTCAGGTGAGAATTAATCAAATATAAATATATATGTAATCATTTTTAAATGTTTCTACTACTTATTCAGGCTGGTGTGGGTCAGGGGTTGAGCATCATCCATGATCCAGAAGGTCATGGTTCAATTCCCGGTCAGGGCACATGCCCAGGTTGTGGGCTCGATCCCCAGTGTGGGACATGTAGGAGGCAGCCAATCAATGATTCTCTCTCATAATTGATATTTCTCTCTCTCTCCCTCTCCCTTCCTCTATGAAATCAATAAAAGTATCTCTTTTTAAAAATGTATTGCTTGAACTTAAAACTTTTGCCAGAGTGAGTGGGAGGTCTATGTGCCATCTTACCTGCTGGAGTCCTCTCCATCCTGACAAGTGCCCTTGACAACCGACAATATGACAAAAACCTGTATCATGCTGTCGGTCCATGAGTGTTTCCCTTCCATAATATACAATATATCACTTCTATCACTTACATGAGTGTCATTGGCTCAATAGAATGATATGGACATTATAACAGCATCAAAGTTAAGCAGAGAGCTAGTAACCAGAAAACTTTATTAGATAACGGAAATGGGGATTTTGTCATCTAATGTACCAATAGTTCCCAGGGAGAGCTGAGACTTCGGTGTCAGGCAGACTATGTACAACCGATGCTCTGCCTCTTTCTTCCTACACAGCCTTAAGCATGTTTTACAAATTCTCTAAGTCTTACTAGAAAATATGGTTAAATATATCTCTATCGACCTCTTGTATTGTTGTGGAATTTAAATAAGATTGTGCAGTACTTGATATATGTTCTGATGCATATGAGGTACTCGGAAAATAGTGGCTGCTACCATCATCGTTATCATCATCATCATCAGGCTACTCACATGACCTAAAATTTTCAACAGAATAAAAATGAATGCATTTATCACATATATTTTAAATGTTTTTCAGTGGATTTTTACCTGGTAAATGTCAAAGAACTTGACAGAGATTTTTGAAACCTGTCAAATCTCAACCAAGCTTTCTGATTCACCTCCAAAAAATGTTATTCCTACGTGTCTTCTGTACCAGATGCCACCCTTTCCATCCTAGTTAAAAGTTTTTAACCATTGGGAAGTAGGGTTTGGATCCACCAACCTAAAGAAGTACCTAGGACACTATCCCCATGGGGGTTCTCAGCCCTGCTGACCATTCTGAGGAAACAAGTGTTTAAAAGGAAAAAAAAAACTTTCAAGGATTTGAGGCTGAACATTGTCTTGAGAGAAACGATTTATTGAGCAACATGCTAGCCAGAAAAACGACCAGGTCCCTGAACCCGCATTCTACTCTGCCAGCAGGAGGGCTGGGTGGAGAAAAGAATATTTATCTGCTGTCCTGAAGCTCACAAGGTTCTTTTATACAATGAGTTTGGGGAGAAAGATGTAGGTTATTTTGGAAAAATTTACATTGGCTACAGACAAGGGGGTTGTGGGTAGGTGATGCTGGGAGAGTTCTGGGACGGGTGACTTGTACATCAAAAAGAAGTATTTAATGCTTTGGGACTATTTGGGGCAATAGTCCAGAAAGTTCAAGCATAAGCAAGATATGCTGGTGCCTGTGAGCTGCCTGAATAGTCTCTGAAGTAGGCATACAGAAGTTGATCAAAGGTTTCAACATACTATCAGGAATATGAGCAATCTGTTGTTAGTTTAGTCCCGTGGCTACTAACTGATTAACTTTCCTTGTCTCTTCCTCCCACTCTCCAGTCTGCTATAATTTAATTTAGGACATCTCAGAATTTTTCTCTTGTAAAGAAAAAAAAAAGAAATTTTCTCTTGTCGCAGCTCTCAGAGTTGTGGCCTCCAGAAATTTCTGTCTGAACTTGTCCTCATTCATTCAACATGCTACCAACTGACCACAGGAAGAAAAAAAATACATAGTGAGCCCACAGCCCAGTGATGCCCCACTCTGGTGGACAGGGGGCATGGACTCATACCTCCTGGTGAATGTCATGTTTTTATTGATTTCTTAGAGAAAGAGAGATGGAGAGAGAGAGAGAAGTATCAATGATGTGAGAGATCATTGATCAGCTGTCTCTCGCATAGCCCCCACTGGGGGATCGAGCCCGAAACCTGGGCATGTGCCCTGATGGGGAATCGAACCTTGCCCTCCTGATTCATAGGTTGACACTCAACCACTGGGCCATGCCAGTTGGGCATACAGTCACAATTTTAAATATTACAAACTGATTTGCCAATTCTGCAAATGTAAAATTCTATTACATGAGTAAGAAAGGCCAGTAAATGTATAGTTTCATTATAATAAACATTTTCATTGTCCTTTAGGCACGTGATCGGGTGACGAATGGTCTTACCAAGCTATTGGAAACCAACCTACTGGTAGATAAAATGAAATCTGATCTTTCTGCTTTAGAACCTATCCTCTATACAAAATCACAAGATGTTGAAGCCCTGATGGACAAATTGGCAGCGGATCAAGAAAATGCTGATCAGGTACGCTGACTAACCTGACTTGTGGGTGAGAAAGCTTTAGTCACCAACTGATCACTTATGTACAAAGACAAAGGATTAGATTTTTTTTTTTTTTAATCTTACATGTCGTTAAAATAGTTAAATGACAGACTAGCATTTATTTTAAGTTGTAAACAATCTCCCTTCAATAAAACAGTCTGATTCTCTCCCTGAAGATGAGTGAACCTAAAGAGTGGAACCCAAAGAGAGAGTTGTAAGAAAAGTAATGTCCTTGCGGAAACCAGTTTGGCTCAGTGAACGGAGCATCGGTCTGCGGACTGAAAGGTCCCAGGTTTGATTCCGGTCAAGGGCATGTGCATTGGTTGTGAGCACATCCCCAGTTCGGGGTGTGCAGGAGGCAGCTGGTCGATGTTTCTCATCAATGTTTCTAGCTCTCTATCCCTCTCACTTACTCTCTGTAAAAAAAAAAAAAAAATCAATAAAATATATTTTAAAAAGAAAAGAAAAGAAAGAAAAGTACTGCCCAAAAACCTAACGTACCTTTTCTTCTCCTGGAACAGCGGTCAGCAAACTGCGGCTCATGAGCCACATGAGGCTCTTTGGCCCCTTGAGTGTGGCTCTTCCACAAAATACCACAAAATACTCACCTGGGCGAGTCTATTTTGAAAAAGTGGCGTTAGAAGAAGTTTAAGTTTAAAAAATGTGGCTCTCAAAAGAAATGTCAATCATTGCACTGTTGATATTTGGCTCTGTCGACTAATGAGTTTGCCGACCACTGTCCCAGAAGGAACTGTCAATTCCAACTTTTTCTCCATTATTCTATCAGCATAGCATGAGACGCAGTAAGGGGAGAGTAAAATTCAGTATAGCTAATCCTCTTTCCTCATCCGTCTAATCCAAAGGGGCAAATATGACATTATTATTGGCTTTGTTTTTAAGTATTGAAATTAAACTATTGAGACCACTTAAGCAGTCATATTTCAATGTTTAGGTCCGTAGCGTTGTGCAAGAAGATGAAGCAGTGGCCAAGGTCAAAGCCGAAGAAACCCAAGCAATCGCTGATGATGCTCAGAGAGACCTTGAAGAAGCTCTGCCTGCACTTGATGCCGCCAATAAAGCGCTGGACTCCTTAGATAAAGCCGATATATCTGAAATCAGAGTTTTTACGAAGCCCCCAGACATGGTCATGACTGTTATGGAAGCAATTTCCATTCTCTTGAATGCCAAGTGAGTAACCCAGAATCGTGTGTCACCGAAACATCTGGTGGGATTTCTTTGCAGTTTTTCTCCGTGTTCGTTCTCTTCTCTACCCATTCATTGATTTGGGCAGTCATTCAACAAATTGACTCAAAAAGCATTTTTTTTTTTTAACAAGGCACATACAGTCTGCTGCAAAGACAGACATGAAAAGTATTACTTTTAAGACATGAGAAAGTTGCCTAGTATTAGGAGGGCTGAGATCAGAGTGCCCCTGGGGAGATGTGAGTGGGGTTTTTGAGGGATGATGCTCAGGTGAAGAGTAGGACCATGGAGAGAGCCCACTGACCTTCAGTGCTCATGGGATGGGATGGGCTGGGCAGGGAGGCAGGGATTACATCATGAAAGGTCTCATATACTGTGCTAAGCAGTTCAGATTTCTTCTGGTAAACATGTAGTTTTCAAAATTTCTTTAGTAATACAATCTTCCTTACTTTTATTTTTCAATAAAAATTATGTTATATGAAACCTATCCATATAAAACTGATCAAAGCAAAGGGAAAAGGGCTAGAGCACCCCCTGCCAGGCTTTCTTCCCGACCCTCTGGCCAGCACCTCAGTGGGGCCTCGCAGCCCTTAAAGCACAGATGGAGAGCGCTGGCCACAGGGGACTGAGAGCTGTTGAACATTTTCAACATGATCGGATTTTCATGTGAGGAAGACCAATTTGGCAAAAGTTCATAGGAGGGCCCTGGCTGGTTTGGCTAAGTGGATAGAGCATTGGCCGAAGGGTCCTGAGTTCGATTCCAGTCAAGGGCACATCCGCAGATTGTGGACTCGATCCCCAGAGGGGGGCCTGCGGGAGGCAGCCAGTCAATGATTCTCTTTCATCATTGATGTTTCTATCTCTCCCTTCCTCTCTCTGAAATATATATATATATATATATATATATATATATATATATATATATATATATATTAAAATTAAAAAGTTCACAGGAGGTAAGGTTGACTGAGAGACAAAATCGGTTAGAAGGTGATTCATAGTGTCCTGGAAAGATATTTTTTTAAAATATATTTTAATGATTTTTTACAGAGAGGGATAGAGAGTTAGAAACATCGATGAGAGAGAATCATCAATCAGCTGCCTCTTGCACACCCCCTACTGGGGATGTTTTCCCCCCAACCAAGGTACATGCCCTTGACCGGATCGAACTAGGGACCTTTCAGTCCGCAGACCGACGCTCTACCACTGAGCCAAACCGGTTTCAGCCTGGAAAGAGATTTTAATGATCTAAACTAGGGGTGTTGAACTCAATCAGAGAAGGGGCCAAAATCTAAAATCCAGCCTAAATCGCGGGCCGAGTGGTTTACTGAACAGTCATAAACTGTCATTGTGATGGAAACGCAGCGGAGTGCAGTGATGACAGCGCGGTGCGGGCCACATTGCAAGGCCTGGCGGGACGGATTTGGCCCGCGGGCCTTGTGTTTGACACATGTGATTCTAAACTAGGAAAGAAGGTTAAGATGTGAGTGCCTGGGGCATTTTAATGATAAAACTGGTTTTGCTATGTTGCCTTACATTTTTAAAACTCTATGATTTTATGATTCGTTCCCTGCTAAAACTGGGTAGTAGGAAACATCAGCCATCCACTTACCTGTCTGCTCATTAATTATGGCGTATATAACTTACCATTTACTGGGATTATAGTATTGAGATGAAAACCACCCATTTATTGGGATAATATCTATAAATGTTCTCCAGAGAATGCATTTCTTTGGTCCCCATGCGATTTTATTACAGTGCTTCTAACTTACCACTTCTGTCTTTCAGGCCTGATTGGCCAACAGCAAAGCAACTTCTCAGTGACTCGAACTTTCTCAGGAGACTTTTAGAATATGACAAGGAAAACATAAAGCCTCAGATATTGGCAAAGCTTCAAAAGTATATTAATAATCCTGATTTTGTGCCTGAGAAAGTAGAGAAAGTATCCAAAGCATGTAAATCCATGTGCATGTGGGTGAGAGCCATGGATCTGTACTCTCGGGTGGTCAAAGAAGTTGAACCAAAGAGGCAGAAGCTCCGTGCCGCGCAGGTAGGTTATCTGTGTTGTGATGTTTTTATAGAATTAAAGGCCATGATCACCCCTCATGCAAGCTTCCTTTATCATGCCCCGGTGACCCTATGCAATGTAGATAGAAACAGGGCTTTAGTTTCTGTCTTAAAAAAAAAAATACCTGGCAAAGATTATTTGTTTCCACATGTAAAAACTTTTTTTATAGCTTTTATTTATAGCTTTTCAATTTTGTGTCATACATAAAAAGGCCTTTCTTACTTTGAGAACATAGGGAATTTGTCCATGTTTCCTTCAACAATGTTTAAATTTTTAAATCTTGACCTATTAGTTAATTTATTTTGTTACGATGAACATGTTGGGTAACCACATGAATTAAAGGAAAGCAGAGAGCTCTAGATTAAATTACGTTCTTCCCAACGATTCCTAGAAGTTACCATTTCCAAACGTCCCACCCACAGGTTCAAGCAGACAGAGGACTGGGAAAGACTTCTTCAGTAGAGGCCATGCCGGAGGCAGGAGTGAGTGTGTGTGTGTGTGTGTGTGTGTGTGTGTGTGTGTGTGTGATGTGATGTGTCTGTGATGTGTTCACAGCAGGGAGTAGGACCAGAGAGATTGAGGATCTGATGTAGAGGAAGACATAAGGTCAGCCCACCAGGGGGAGCCATGCAATGGGAGCCCCTCAATACCAGGCCAAGGCCATAAGGAGCAGGGTTGTGAACAGAGACCTGCGGCCTTGGTGTTGTGGGAAGTCTGTCCTGGTAGAGGATGGGAGAGGCAGAGCACAGAGCAGGGGAGCCTGAGCAGAGGCGGCTGTCAGAGCTCCAGGCTGAGCCCAGCACCTGTTGGACATTCTTTAGGGCTGGGTGGGAGGCTGAGGACCAGGGGCAAGTTTCCAGTCAGGACACTCAGTAGGGTCCCTGGAATTAGAACAGGGCATCCCCAGGTGTTTCATTTTTGCTCCAGAGTCGACTCCTGAGAATTTCACATCAGGAGTGTCCTCATGAGTTGTTTACCATGTGCCAGGCTGTGGGTGAGTCTCACACGTACCATCTCATTTAATCCTCACGGGCTATTATCCCCATTTTATAGGTTAGGAAACTGAGGCTTAACAAAACCACCAAGACAGGTATTGAAATTGGTAGAACTGGGCTGGGTAAGAATCTTTCTGGCCCCATAACTGGGGCTCTTAGCCACTCTGTAGCAAAGATTTTTATTTATTTATTTATTATTTATTATTTTTCAGAAATGACCTCTAAAATCAACCCTCTTCCAGCAAAAGAGGAAAATGAATTCTTAGTGTATTCACTTTGCCTATGATATTTTTTCAGTCCCTTTTAGTTCTAAGATCAGATGTTCTATGTTTCCCTTTTCTAATTATTCCCACCCTTGACAGAGCCCTCTGAGTCTCTGAAATCTAGCTTGATCCACAATCAGAAGTGAGGTCCCAAGCAGGACCGAGTGGTCATGTAGTGGAGCAGGTTACTGAAGGAACTGGGGCTGCAGAGCCGGGGTTGGCACACTTTTTCTATCAAAATGCAGATAGCCCAGCCGGCGTGGCTAAGGGGTTGAGTGTTGACCTATGAACCAGGAGGCCACAGTTCGATTTCAGGTCAGGGCACATGCTAAGGTGTGGGCTCCATCCCCAGTGTGGGGAGTGCAGGAGGCAGCCAGTCAATGATGCTCATCCTTGATGTTTATATCTCTCTCTCCCTCTCCCTTCCTCACTGAAATCAATAAAAAATAAATAAATAAATAAATAAATAAATAAATAAATAAATTTTTTTTTATAAGATTCAGATAGTAAGTGCTTTCAGCTTTGCTGGCTCTGAGGTCTGTTGCAGTTACTCTGCTCTGCATGCAAACAGCCATCAGCCCTTACCGCATCCAAACAGCCATCCAGCACCGCACACAGGAATGGGCATGGCTGCTCTCCAATACAACTTCATTTGTAGACACTGGGATTTAAGTTTCATACCATCACCATGTGTTATGAAGTATTGTTCTTTTGATTTTTTTTTCCCCCAACCACTCACTCACAAACCATCTGAAAGCAGGCAGCAGACTGGCGCTGGCTCGCAGGCCTGGTGTGCGATCCCTGCTCCTGAGAACTAGTCACGAAAGATCCGTTTTCACTGCTGCAGGGCTATTTCATTTGTTTAATCGTTCAAAGTTGGTAATCCAGTGTAGTCACTGATTCACCCCCAATGCCTGGTAAATCTGTCTCTCTTTTCCTTCTAGCGTTTATTTCATTGGACTTTGTTTCCGTTTTGTTCTCCTCTGTTTGCTTCTGCTCTTATCCTTTGTGATTTTACATTTGTTTCAACTTTGTATATTATCTCAAAATGTTTGAGGATGTGAAAAAGGGAACCTAAATCCATCCTACTTTTTAAAAAATGTACTATACATGGGCAGATTTCGCCTTCTTTGGGGGCCTATTCATATATATTTTACCTTATTTTATTAGGCTGAACTTGATATTACAATGGCTACCCTGAAAGAAAAGCGAGAATTGCTAAGAAAAGTGGAAGAACAGATACAGACCTTACAAGATAAATATGACAAGAGTGTGAGTGAGAAAGAAAGTCTGAGTAAGTAACTCATAAGATGTATTTTGGTCAGAAAATGCCTGATTTTCAAAAATAAACTTTTGTTTATTTGCTTGCTTTTTCCATTGATTTCTAGAAAGAGAAGAAGGCAGTTGCGTGGGGCGGGGGGAGGGGGGGGAGAAAACATGGACGTGAGAGAGACACTTTGATTGGTTACCTCCCACATGCATCCCCACTGGGCCGCAAACCTGCAACTGAGGTACTTGCCCTCAACTGGGAATTGAACCACAAACCTTCGGTCCTTGGGCCAACACTTGCCAGGCGTCCTCAAACTTTTTAAAGAAGGGGCCAAAATCTAAAATCCAGCCTAAATCGGGGGCCGAATGGTTTACTGAACAGTCATAAACTGTCATTGTGATGGAAACGCAGCGGAGTGCAGTGATGACAGCGCGGTGCGGGCCACATTGCAAGGCCTGGTGGGACGGATTTGGCCCGCGGGCCTTGTGTTTGACACATGTGCTCTAACCACTAGTAAAACTGGCCAGGACAAAAGTAGAAGGAGTTTTTAGGCAGTGAGTCATATCTCAGCTTCATTCAGCATGGAGGACATAATTTCATTAGACTAGTGCATGAAATGCCTCCTAATATAAAATTAGAAGAACTGGAATATTGTATAGATTCAACCCCTATATGTGAATATGGCTTGTTGGGGGCATGTTACATATATATATATATATATAACCCTAAGCAACCAAAACAACAGGAATAACAGGTCTCTATGAGGCACACTGCAGGGGGTGGTGGGGGAGGGGGCCTGGCTGGCCAACTTCCTGTGGTCCCTCCCCCCAGTTTGCCAACCTCCCAAAGCCCCTCCCCCCAGCTGGCCCTGGCACCCCCTCAAACCCAATTGGGGGCAGGGCTCACTGGCCAACCTCCTGCCATCCCCTTCCCCCACCCCACTGGCACCAGCCCTGATCAGTCCCTCCACCCCAATTGGGGCGGGGCCAGCCAGATCCCATCCATGCATGAATTCTTGCACCAGGCCTCTAGTTGTAACATAAAGCAACACATGCATTTGATTCAGAAAATAAATAGCACAGAGTGAGTGCTTAAATAGTGCTAATTCCTACCAAAAACAGAAGCAGTTGAATAAACTTCTATTTTGAGAAAAGATTAAGTAACATAATCTGATTTTCTTAATATTTTCCAGCAAGGAATATGGCCCTGACAAAAGCACGTCTGATACGTGCTGGAAAGCTGACAGCTGCCTTAGGAGATGAGAAAGTTCGATGGGAAGAAACCATCCAAAAATTTGACGATGAGCTATCAAATATCATTGGGAACGTGTTCATAGCATCAGCTTGTGTGGCCTATTACGGGGCCTTCACAGCCCAGTATCGGCAACTGGTGAGTAAACATGCCTTCTCTAAAGAGTGCCGGGAAGCAGCTGGAACTAAGCTGGTGGGAGGGGGGATGAGGGGGTAGGAGGAGGACAGTTACTTACTCCTTTTCCTGAGTTTAGATGGAGGTTCTCCACCCAGAAATTTATTTCTACCTCCACAACCCTTAGCCTTTCCCTAACACATCTCTTCCCTTCCCTTTCCCCTTCCTTTTATTTCCCTTCCCCTCCCCTTTCCCTTCCTCCCCTTCCCCTTCCTCCCCTTCCCCTTTCCCTCCTCTTCCTTTTTCCCTTCCCCTCCCTTTTCCCTTCCTCCCCTTCCCCTTTCCCTTCCCCTCCCCTTTCCTTTCCCCTCTCCTTCCCTTCCTTCCCTTCCTTTCCCCTTTCCCTTCCCCTCCCCTTCCCCTTCCTCTTTCCCCTTCCATTTCTTTTCCTGCCTTAGAAAGTTATTCATCACTTACATTCACATCACAAGAACGTGGGGGAAGAAAAAGGGACAGGGAGTCCCCTGCTATTATGATCAGAAGTGACATCTAAAGTCAGCCTGAACTGGTGAGGAGGCTTCAAAATAACTAGGCAAAGCAAGGCGCTGGAATCCAAATGGTCAGGCGTGATTTTCAAGCCATTTTTACGAAATGCCTCCCTAAAAGGTTTCACCCTTGTCTGAGTTGCCAAATGCAGTCAGCATAGGACTCAGACTCCGCAGGAGCCCAGTGGTGCTCCTGGGGATGCACTGTTCTCTGTTGTGCACGACTGTGCCACTACTCATCGAAGGAGGTGACATGCCAGCATCCCTCTCCCCCAACCCACTAACTGCTGGTAGTTCCCACGGTCATTGTGTTAACCTAGGGGTGTCGAACTCAATCAGAGAAGGGGCCAAAATCTAAAATCCAGCCTAAATCGCGGGCTGAATGGTTTACTGAACAGTCATAAACTGTCATTGTGACGGAAACGCAGCGGAATGCAGTGATGACAGCGCGGTGCGGGCCACATTGCAAGGCCTGGCGGGACGGATTTGGCCCGCGGGCCTTGTGTTTGACACATGTGTTAACCTAAGGTGACCAGACATCCTGCTTTTGGCAGGACAGTTCCAATTTTCAAAAATTTGTCTCGCGTCCCGCGGCATTTTAAAAAAAAGTCTTGATTTTTGGAAAGATTCTTTTAAATCTTTTGGACTTTTATAAAATGCCGTGGGACGCGGGACAAATTGTTAAAAATCGGAACTGTCCCGCCAAAAGCGGGACATCTGGTCACCTTATGTTAACCCCAACTTCTCCACGTGTTTCCAGACTCTCCCAAGAGGAGTTGAAATGAAGTAAGGGTCTAATGAGTAGCCTTATTGAAAATACTGTGTCTCTTTGTCATTTACACATGAGGTCCATTCCAAAGGGCCAGACCTCCCGATTTTTAGTCTACTTCCTGTGCCCCATGCTCCTCTCCAGGATGCCTGCCGAACCTGGCAGGACTTCCCCTTAATCCAACGTGGCGTGTGTGCACTCACTTACTGAGGTTCCTGTTCTCTACAAGTGAGCTCTCCTGCCCCTGCAGCTGATCGAGTGCTGGACCCAGGACTGCCAGTCTCTGGAGATCCCCATCGATTCTTCCTTCAATCTCATCAGCATTCTGGGCGATCCCTACGAAGTTCGGCAGTGGAACACGGATGGGCTGCCCCGGGACATGATATCCACGGAAAATGGCATTTTGGTGACTCAAGGGAGACGATGGCCTTTGATGATTGACCCCCAAGATCAGGTGTGTAACAGGTGCTTCTTCAGGTTGGCTCTGCCTAACATTGTGCTGCCCATTACCGGGGCTAACGTGGACTTGAACCGACTTGTGAGATTCTGGGATGGAGACCTAGAGGGAGTTTAGAGTCTTTTAGCCCATCTCCCACATCCAGTCGATGCAAAAAGGGAGGCGCCCATAACCTCACTGTGATTAGGGGATTGGCCTTGACTCCTGTTTTCGGTGAGAGCAGAAATTCATTCTGATATAGTCCTTGTTCCTAAAAAGTCTGAGGAGTCAAAACGAAGTAAGGGTCTGATGAGTTTTAAGGCCAGCCTGCCTAGAATTTACAGAATCCCACGTCCTGACTCCTAACCCCGTGGCTCAGGTCAGACTCCACCAGGTTTGGAAAAGGAGCCGTTGTGAAGCAGAGAGACAGGCTGGAACAGCACAAGTATAGTGTTTTCCAGGTGGATCTTTTCTTCACTTGTTCCAAATTTGACTAAAAGGAAGAATCCCAAATGCTGGGCTTAAAACCTGTTTTTATTAGTGAGGGAGTGGTGGTGGCACTTTTTATGTTATTATTTTTACCTTTCAAACCTGTTTCTTGATTGAACAAATTTTTCTTAACTTGACTTTTAAAAGCTTTCAACCTCTTAGCCATCCATTAAGCCCTACAGCAAATGTCCTGCTCTGTGCTTTCTCACACAGGCCAACCGCTGGATAAGGAACAAGGAAGCCAAATATGGCTTAAAGATCATTAAGCTTACGGATAGCAATTTCTTACGCACGCTCGAAAATTCCATCCGACTCGGTTTGCCTGTCTTACTGGAAGAGGTTTGCTTTTCACACTCCTTTTCTCCTGCTAATCCCCAACTTCCAGGTTATATCCAGCACCCTAGGCGTGCCACAGCCACATCACGCTGAAGACACCAGTCAGGTCCACATGCAAGTTAGTCAAACTGATGGCTTTGCTTCTTGAACGATAAACTCGCACAGGGGTTCCCTAAGAATTCCCTGTTTGCAGACGTGGTTCTGGTGTTACGTGGAATGGGCTCTGCTTTGGGACATGGCTGATTCCCAGGCCTCGTTGTGGCTCCTGGTGGTTAGCTGCCCCGAAAATTCAAAGCAGTGGTGCCATCAGGGACTGTCCACACACACTAGTGATCTGAAGCCAGTAAATCAGTCCAGGAGGTAGAAACATCACCTTCTGTTTAGATATAAGATCAGGCTTAGATTAAGTGATGTGATAAGAATGAGCTTCTGTGTTCTTGTTTTTTAAAGGATATTTGTTGAGCCCAAGTGCTCCATTTCTTCAGAATCACTCCAAGAATGGAAGTTTTCGAAATGGTTCACTCATTCAACACACATTGTTTGAGAATCAATGGCAAACAGTACAGGGGAGTGAGACAGGGCAGAGGCCTGGGGACTGAGAAGGGAGGATTGGCATTCCCAGGCCTCAATAGCTTACAGTCTAGCTGGGGACAAAGTAAACAGAGAAAAGAGAGAGGTAATGAGAGAAGGGGTGGAAGAGAATTAGTGCTAAGGGCTTTGCAGGGGCAAGCCTAGTGCTCACATAGCATTAAGGGGAGGGGAGAGATAGGACATAAAGCTGCCATGTGTGGCTTGTGGCCTTGACCAGCCCAGGGAAGTGCTGTAATGGGTCTCAGGTCCTGATTTGAATCCTGACATTCCAGGAGAGGGTGAGGTCTCTCCAAAGCTGACGGGGCACAGCTATGTTAACCCACCCCGGATTCCTGAACTCCGGTTCACTTCATAACACAGGAAGTCCTGAGGGAACTCCTCTCTCGTGGCAGCGGACAGAGGCCTTTCTGGCATGTGCTGCCCTGGTCAGCAGGGTCAGGGGGGGTGTCCATAACTGAGTGCTCAGGGCCCCGGCCAGGAATGGGATGGAATCAGTAGTAGCATTGCACACCTGGTTTCATTTGGCTATTTTAGGCATTTATAGGAGGGTATTTTTAAATTTTGTCTCCACCCATTCATGGTGGGAAATTGAGTTAGTCTATCTCAAACCAGCGTGTTTTTAATGACATAGAGCAGAATTTTAAAAATACAAAACTGTATCCTGAGTAGTAAGGGAAACTTTATCTCACAAAACTTTTGTTTTAAGAGCTTCCATGCTTGGGTACCATGCCTCAGTGTGAACAAAGCTTATTAACTACTGACGACAATCCAGTGTTGACAGCCCCTGGGCCATGGGCCCCCACCGCGTGGACGCTGACAATGTTTGTCATGGGGTCTGTTGGCAACGTCTGCAAGTTCAAGTTCTTACCACTAACCAGATTTGCTTGGGGGAGGGGTTCACTGTCTTATATGAGAGTCCACAAATTTTTTTCTGTGAAGAGCCAGATATTTTAGTTTTTTCAGGCCACATGCAGTCTGTACAAACATTCTCTGAACAAATATTCTTCTTTGGTTAGGTTTGGAAGGTTTGTTTGTTTGTTTGTTTGTTTTTACCACCGTTTAAAAGGATAAACGCCATTCTTAGCTCCAGAGCTTTACAGAAACAGGCCGCGGAGGCCAGATTTGGACAGCAAGCTGAAGACTGGGAGCGGACGGGTCCTTTGTGTCTGGGCCTCTTGGGGGAAGACCTTGCAGGGACTCTCCTTTCTCAGCTTCTTCCTTCTGTGGATGACCAATGTGTTGCCCTCACGAGCTCTTATTTCCCTAGGCCCATGGTCGGCAAACTGCAGCTCGAGAGCCACATGAGGCTCTTTGGTCCCTTGAGTGTGGCTCTTCCACAAAATACCACGGCCTGGGCGAATCTATTTTGAAGAAGTGGCATTAGAAGGAGTTTAAGTTTTAAAAAATTTGGCTCTCAAAAGAAATTTCAGTCGTTGTACCGTTGATATTTGGCTCTGTTGACAAATGAGTTTGCCGACCACTGCCCTAGACTATTGATAAAGCAATCACTGGAAAATAGACCATTAGTGAGGTGAGCGGATAGTGTGAAATATCCAGACAATCACTAAAAGACTGCTTGTTCAAAGTAAATGTTGAGGCCTAAGGAATTTGAAGAAGTTGATGTCTTGAGTTGGGAGGGGGAGGCTGAGGTACCAAATTACTTTGCTTGAAGAAATGGTACAAATTAAAGAACATAAGTAGATGATTTGGTACAAGTCACCTAAAAGGTAAAGGTAACTCCAACATGCACGTTCTGCTGACCAGGGAGGTGACCCCTGTGGCTCTGGGGAGCAGCCTAAGGCTTAGCTCTCATCACTGTCTCCCAGGCTGTGCTTGTCACAGAGATTCTGGGGACCCATCTCTTGTACAGGCTGGTTATGAGGCAACCCAATTCTCTGATGGATTTCACCTGCTCATTCAGGTCATGAGTCTCAATGAAGTGACACAAATGGGGGTCATTTTTGTCACTGGCCAGATTGTGCAAGTCCAGTAGTGACTGACCCACACTCCAGTGTGTTCAGCCCCCTCCCCCAGTCGTCAGGTCTGGTTTCTTGATACCCTGAAGGAAGATTCGGCCGCCTAGTTGGTTCTGCAGCTTCATCGGTTTCTCAGCATGCTCCCTCTCTTCCTGAGATTGGTGAAGAAAAGAGTTGGCAAAGTTCTCCAAAGCCACATCATGGCAGTCAAAGTAGTAAGACTAGGAAGCTGTGAGCTCCAGGTTGATGTGGCAGTTGATGACAGCCTGGGAGTCCTGGTGGTAGTTCAGACTGCGCAGCACTGGAGTGTGGGTGTGGGGGGGGGGGGGGGGGGGAGGGGGGGAAGGGCCTTGGGGTGTCCAAGGGCATGTAAAGGGGGCGGAGGGCTGCATGTGAGCAGCTGGCTGGGATGAGGGACGAGCGCCAGGTTCATTGTTGAAGCAGGAAACCTCGCCAACTCTCGGTGAAGAGTCAGCCTTTAACTAATGTTTCATTTAACTCTTTCTGTATTTTTGTTTTCATCTTTAAGCTTAAAGAAACCTTGGATCCAGCTCTGGAACCTGTTCTTTTGAAACAAACCTTCATGAGTGGTGGACGACTGCTCATTCACCTTGGAGACTCGGATATTGACTACGACAAAAACTTTAGGTTCTATATGACAACCAAATTGCCAAATCCCCACTACCTGCCGGAGGTATGAGCTGTGGGTCTGGAATTCTCAGCCTGAATGGATTGCTATGGTGTGGCAGGTCTCTGACGTGTGGTGGATTCCCACCTGAAAGGACCAGGTCTTCCCCCATCCCTGTCCCCTCTCCAAGTCCTCCCCCATCACCCTCCATCTTGCTTCTCTTCTGAGTCCTGATTCTGAGTCCAGTCATCCTTCTACTGGCCTTGTAGGTGGGACTCCAATCCTCCCCAGTCAGTCCCCACGCTGCCCACCTCACTCCCCTGTGCTCCTCTTCAGCCCTCTCACCATCTCCCTCCTGGTCCACAGCTGCTCTTCACATCACAGGGCACCACCCCCTCTGATCATTCCTCTCCCTCCTTTGGCACAAGGCCATCTGTACCCTCTTGTTGTGGCTGACACCTGACTCAGAGGTTAGGTGAGAGTCTGTGGAAGGGGCGCTGTCTACATTTAAGTGTGCAGATACCCACGGCAGACAGCCCCAAACAAGGAAAACTCTGCTGACCGGCATCCTGAGAGAATCATGATTCAAATGCCCAGTGTCTGTACTTGGAGTCCTGGGGGTGGTGGCCACTTCCTCATGCTCTTCGACAGTTGAGGGAGCTGTGTGAACCCCTCTTCCATACACATGTACCTGCGCCACAGAAGGATCCAGAACCTCTACTCTTGTGCTGCAGAGCCCACAGCAGTCGCCACAGCAAAAAGACAGCCGGGATTCCTCTCTTCCTACCCAGAAGGGGCTCTGAGGAGCTCTCCAGGGCCCAACCCTACCCCTTCCACCACCTCCCAACTCTCTGTGCTGCCAGAGCTCCAGGCAGAGCTGCACACTCAGCAGGGCCTTCCAGCCCAGCAGGTCTCCGCTTCTCTAATGGAGCTGGGACTGGAAGGGGACTTTACTATGATATTACTATTGTACTACTACTATTACAGCTGCTGCTGCTACTACTACTACTACTACTACACACACACACACACACACACACACAATTTTTAAGTATTTTTATTGATTTCACATGTCCCCTCCCCCCCTTCTGCATGCCTCCTCCTTCCCCTGGGGATTAAGCCCGCAACCCTGGTATGTGTCCTTTCCAGGAATCGAACCATGACCTCCTGGTTCATAGGTCGATGCTCAGCCACTGAGCTACATTGGCCTGGACACACACACACACACACACACAATTTTTAAAGTATCTTTAAATATACCCTTTTAAATAGCATCATATTCATTTCAGTTACTGACTTCATAGATGTGTTCAGGTTGAATAAGATAAGGGAAATGCCATTAAAAACTGAGGTCAAGGTTTTCTGTGTCAACTCCTGCCAGAGTGCATGTCTAAAGAGCTATTTCAGAATTTGGAAAAGTGATCAACTTACCACCTTGGATTTCTCACTTATTTACTTTTTGAGAAGGAGCATCGCATACCTTACCCAACCCCAGCTCTGTGGCTGTGGGTGAATTAGCCTATTTCTTGGGTGTTCAGGTCAATCCACTATAAGGTAGAGAGAAAGCCTACCTCAGGGATTTGTTATGCATATTAAATAAGAATAACATATAAGATACATTACATGTAAACACCTATTCTTACATTTATTGCTATAATATTCTGATGACATTATTTAAATAAATTAATACCTGTTGGCTTATTTAAATAATGTCAGAATATTATAGCAATTTTTTATTAAAATGTTATGATGAGACAAATATGTAAAGCTTGATTTATTATCAATAATATCTTCTCTTTAGAACAAACTATGCTCAAGTTACTGTAACTAAGGGATTTTACTACCTCAATTGGTCCCCACATATACTTCAAAAGTTATCATCCCAATTTTCAAATATCAGGAACTGAAAGCTCAGCATGAGTGAATGACTTATCCAGCATCATACATGTACTAAAGGGTGCACCTGGAATCTGATCCCGAGCAATTGGTTCTATAACTCTGCTTCTTTTTAACCCTTTGCTGGTTCGCCTACAACTGTGGCGTTTGAGGAACTAGACTGTCACTCCTACTGGCAGGAAGAATCATAGTAAGATTTTATAAGACAGAATGTTTGGTGTATGTGCGTGTGGATGAGCATGTTCAGCTGGGTAATAACGAGCCATGTTCTAGTAAAAAGTGCACTTCTCATTTGCTCAGTATGAACTTGAGCATTTAAATGGACTCTATGCTCCTTTTCTAGGTGTGCATTAAAGTTACCATCATCAATTTCACTGTGACCAAGTCAGGTCTGGAGGACCAGTTGTTAAGGTAATTAAAAAAGGGGGTGGGGAGGCCCTAATATTTTCTTTAGAAATTTTGACAAAGAAAAATTTTAATGTATTAAAAGAAAACATCACTTATAAACCCTCAACCACAAAGATAACAGTAAATGGCTAAGTTCTTTCCCTCTTTCATCACGGTTTTTTTTTTTTAATTGATTTGAAAGAGGAAGGGAGAGGGAGAGAGATGGAAACATCAGTGATGAGAGAGAATCATTGATCGGCTGCCTCCTGCACACCCCACACCAGGGATCAAGCCCCCGACCAGGAATCGAACTATGACCTTCTGGTTCACAGGTCAACGCTCAACCATTGAGCCATACTGGCTGGGACCCTTGCATCACTTTTTGCAGCTGCTGATCTTGTCCAGTCTTTTTAGGAGATCAGGGATATTCCCTTCATTCTCAGCCATGATTTGGGCCAGGCCTGCAGCCCAGCCTGGCTCTTCCCCTTCACTGGGATTCTTATCTCGGGCAAGTAAATGAAGTGAGTGGTCCTATGGTTTCTAGAGATTCATTACTCCCCACTGAAAAAGCACTACTGCTCTCAAATGTATTTCTCCTGTCTCTCTCAACTCTGGTTATTTTCTCCGTGCATTTATTTTTACCTACATTTGTCTACCTCAAAAAAAAAAAAAAATACCCTTCCTTGGTATACTTTATCGGTGATTAAATCTCCATTCCCCAAAAGTGAGATTATGGATTATTTATATTAACCATCAGAATTAGCCAAGAAGTTTAGAAGGCAAAATATTTTAAATATTTATTAAAATAACAACATTGATGTTAAACACTGTGTGTATATATTGATTAACTTTAAAGGAAAATATAATTTAGTCCCATATTCAAAATAAATATAATCCTTTATATTTGAATCAAGATTATCCTGATATTCTCCTGGTATCACTAATGAGTTTAAGTCTCATTTTCCTCATTTATTTTAGGAATCTATTCTGCCAGCTGCTAGCTTGCTTGAATTCTGCTAGGCTCACACCTTTCCAGACAAAGGTTATCTCCCCACAGTTCATGGCCTTGTTCTAAGGACTCGGCTGAACATCTTGCCCACCAGCTCATCCCATGAGGAGCTGAGCTGAGTCGCTGAGCTCTCGCATGTGAGACTGCCTGGGCTAGAGGCAGAAGTGCCGACAAGAACAGGGGAATGTTGAGGCTCAGTCCTGTTGAATCTTCAGGTTGCACTTTATATTCTTCTAAAATTTTCTGTAAACAAGTGGACTTGCAGCAATGATTTCTTATGGTCTTCATGTAATAATTTTTTAAGTTTCTGAATTCAGCATGTGCACAAACAAGGAGTTGTTGTGTGAGGCAGTTCTTCAGAGCGGGTAATAGCATGTGCCCTGGGGCCAGCTGACCCAGATAGGAGCCCCTCTCTGCCTCTCAAAGCCTCATGGCCCCAGGAAATGACCTGTAGGGTCTGTACACTCATCTGCAAACTAGGGCGATAACCATTGTGCCCACCTCACAGGAGCATTCAAAGGGTTAAAAGAGAGAATCCACATAAAACTCTTAGCAGGGTGCCTCGCACAAAGTGATGCTTAATAACAGCTCCTGCAAACGGTGCTGGGAGAAAATCATGAGAGGACAAGTAAAGGGAGAGAAAAGTTCCCATTTGGACAGGAGGGGGTAGAGGGGAGGGGTAGAGTGGGAGGCTAGCGGTAAGGTCCCATTATTAGATGCAATCAAGAATCATCTCAGGAATGTGATGGGATAAAAGGATGTTCCACACACCATTTTCACCTGGCACAAACAAACATCAGACAGAAATTGAATGATTAGAGAGATCAGGATTGAGCAAATTTTTCTAAGAGAAGATGAGCAAAAACTGTGGTAGGGTAGGCTTTGAAATACAATATAAAGAAACAGAACTAACATGTAATTCACTGAATAGACACTATGTAAACCCAACAAAAGAGGGGCCTTGTGCATTAGGATTTGGCTAGTAGCATTAGTCAGTAGCACATATATATACTAGTGGCCCGGTGCACAAAATTCATGCATGGGGGTGGGAGGGGTGTACTTCAGCCTGGCATGCACCCTCTCCAATCTGGGACCCCTGGAAGAATGTCCTACTGCCAGTTTACAAGAATCAGACCTAAACTGGCAGTAGGACATCCCTCTCACAATCCAAGACTGCTGGCTCCAGTGCTCACCTTCCTGCCTGCCTGACTTCCCCTAACCACTCTGCCTGCCAGCCTGCTCACCCCGAAATGCCCCCCTGCTGGCCTGCTCACTCCAAACTGTCCTCCCCGCTGTCCTGA